TTTGCAACAAAGACTGTTCATGGGTTAGAAGTTTTGTCTACTAGTAACAGGGGAAAAGAACGGCCTTAATCACACCGACAAAATGAACGGTTTAGATCATCTCGAATTTGTAACAAATACTATTCATGGGTCAGAAGTTTTTCCTCCTAGTAACAGGGGAAACAAACGGCCCTGATCGCACCGACAAAATCAATGGTGTAGATCATCTTGAATTTGCAACAAATACTGTTCATGGGTCAGAAATTTTGTCTCCTAGTAACAAGGGAAAAGAATGGCCATGATCGCACCGACAAAATCAACGGTGTACATGATCTCAAATTTGCAACAAAGACTGTTCATGGGTCAGAAGTTTTGTCTACTAGTAACATGGGAAACGAACGACTCTGATCGCACCGACAGAATCAACGGTGTAGATGATCTTGAATTTTCAACAAACATTGTTCATGGGTTAGAAGTTTTATCTCTTAGTAACAGGGGAAACGAATGGCCCTGATCCCACCGACATAATCGACGGTGTAGATCATCTCGAATTTGCAATAGACACTGTTCATGGGTCAAAAGTTTTGTCTCCTAGTAACAGGGGAAACAAACGGCCACCGACAGAATCAACGGTGTAGATCATCTCGAATTTGCAACAAACACTGTTCATGGGTCAGTGATTGCCTATACCACACCATGATCATGGGTTAGTGATCGCACTAGAAGGAGAAATCCATCGTATTGTATGTTTCCTATACCACACCATGTATTCTGAGCTATTGCTCAAGTGTGGTGTATCACATGCAGCTTGTGTCCATACACGATGAAGTCGTGTTTGCCACTCTTGCACAAATTGAACGTGTATGCGTGACCAGTCCATGTTATCCTTGCTTCTCAAGGAAAGATCATGCAATTTCTCCTGATGAATAGGAGGCGGAGGAATGTGTTGGACCATCCCAAATTGTCGCATGACACGATCAACGTAATGATACTCGACGATGTGGAAATTAATCAATGGGATAGTTGACCTCCATACTTGTGAGTCCTCAAAACAGTAAGGAGGTAATGTAGGTAGTAACTCCAAGTATGGTTGCCATAGAAACTGCAAAACAACATAACAAATAAGTAGTTAGCAATTATCATTTATAATTACAATTTTTTATATATAAATCTTCAATAAAATATTATAAATTAAGACTTACATCCTCTCTTTTTAAACGGTCAAAATACTCTCTATACTTCACAATTTTATCTTTTGTTTCCTCTCTAGGTTTATGCAAGGCATAATTCCACCTGTTATAAAAATAAAAAAAACCATTAATACTTCAATATACAAATTAATTCTAAATATATTTATTCTTAAATCGATCACAAGTAATATAGTTACTAACCATGCCCCTAGAGGAACATAAAATGTAGATAAAGGTGGATGAGGTGGTGCAAGAAATGGAAACCGATACCATGCCCATAATTGCACTAGAATACCTGAACTACCAATTTCCTTATGATCATAATTCGTGCACACGCACAACTCCCTGTACATATTCGCCAGCACGCATGACCACCAACTCATTTGACCACAAGCATCCAGGTCTTCTAGAAAACTAAAATATCTAGGGGATACAAAGGGGCTAGAGTGATCAGCTAATAGATATCCCTCGATTATGCTTAAAATGAAAGTTCTAGTATAGCGTTCCAACTGTTCCTGGCTATGTATATGCTTAGAAACATTAGAAAAGTGTCGGTCAATCCAGCTCATCCTCAATCGACCGCCAACAAGCATTGACTCAGGGGGTGTCATGCCAAGAAGGCGCTCCACAAGAGCTCCCCAATCCATAGTTGCGTATCCAGTAATGGGTGCCCCGAAGATCTTCAACCCAAGTAACATTGCAACATCCTCCAACGTGATAGTACACTCGCCAAGGGAATGTGAAACGTGTGGGTCTCTGGTCTCCATCACTCAACTAAGGCAGAAATCAAATGATTGTCCACAGGAAAGTAACTGATTTGCGCCACCCCCAAAAACCCAGCCCTCTGTAGAAGATCCTGAATAGCAGCTGGAATCTCAACACCACGCAACTATGATTATGTTGCTCTTCTAACCTTCAAAACCCTATCTTCAACTCCATTCCATATATGCTCAGATATATGGAATGGTTGAAGCCTTAATAACGAATCGTCGATAGGTCCTGCATGAATCATCTGTATAGACATCCTGATATAATTAAACAAACAAACAAACAAAATATTAAATTCAAACAACACATAACTTATAAATTTTCTAAATGCCTAAATGCCTAATTTAATCCCTCATAATAATTAAAAAATTTCAATTGGGTCCCATACATATGTCGTTGTCCTCGTCCTACTCATCTTCGTGAGTGCAATCAGAATGGTCCATTCTGAAACCAGAACGGGCCGTTCTCATTGCACAAAAGGTGTCTTAAATTGGGTTCTGGAACGGCCCGTTCCGAAAGCAAAACGGGTCGTTCTGATACCTTTCATTATTCAGTTACGCAAGCAACCAGAACCCGTTCTACTATTAGAACGGCCCGTTCCGGATCCAAAATAACGACCAATATGTTCAATCAGAACAGTCCGTTCTGATTGCAGAACGAGCCGTTCCAGACCCAGAAACCATAAACGAATCAGCCCATTACATTTTAAATTTTAATATTTAATTCCAAATTTAAATAAATAAACTACAACTCTTACCTGGATAAGAACGTGCAAGAAAATATTTTGTTGTGCGAAAAAATTTCTCTGAAGAAGCATTTTCTTAAAGCGCAGGGAGTACAAGCGTTTTCTCAAAAACAAATTTTACTATCTCAGCACTCACCTTTTAACAGAAAATGGAGGGGAAGGTGTTTAATATGGTGGCGCGTGGGGTGTAGGCGTAATATGTATTATATACATAGCGCCTAGGGTGGAGGCGCATTACCACGTGTCAGAACCTGTACAGATGGCGCCTGGGGGGAGGCTCCATCCGAAAAACTCCTCCCCCCTGCTCTTTGTTCTCCACATCAGACATGTGTCACGTGGGCCCATATAAGGCGCATGGGAGGAGACTTCTTCTGAAAAACGCCCAGCCCCCTGCGTTTTCTCATCCACGTGACCTCCTACGTGTCAAAAATTACCTATTCTTGTAATTTATTATTTTTTTTTTAATTTATTTTGTGTATTTTTATTCTTTTTTTAATTTATCTGGGCCCAAAAGCCAAAAATAATTGAAGAACACGTGTTGCCAGAGCTTTTGGGTGGGCTAGCTAGTGAATAAATGGAAAATTAATTCAAAAACACATTCTAATAAATTGCATTAATATTTTCAATTAATTCCTTTTAACTTTTTGGGCCGCGTAGCATGTACCTGCACCTTCTAATTGCAACAAACAGTAATAGTTGCACATAAATATGCCCAAAATAAAAACATCACAAGTTTAATGAGCATAATTTTTTCTCTTTCTCGAGTTTAATTCTAGTATACAGTTATTTTAAATATTGAAAAAAAGTGTTAGAAATTCCGCGTGGACCAGTGACATAACCATAATAATATATATTCTAGTTATTATTGATTATTATTTATATGTATATATTTTATGCTGTAAACTTTGATTGAGATATTTAATTAATGGTGTAAGAAGGTGTGTTGGAGATCATACATTATCTAATGATATATAATAAAAATATAATATATAAAAATAATTATTATTTTATAAGTTGTAAAACTAAGTTAACTTATATTCAATTATTTGAAGAAAAAAAAATTCTGATATTTAAGAAATTATTAAGTAGTCCTATATTTTTTGTATGTTAAAAAAAAAAAACCTTTCTCTCTTATATTCTTTATGTTGACGATGTGTAGTATCGATCTATATCCAAGTTTTTCATGTAAATATATTTTCTAGATTATAAATTCCAACTTTTTATATTAATTTCGTGCAAAACTTCTTTCAAAAGCAACCATAAGAAAGGAGGTAATCAACTTTTCATATCTAAAAGAAAATGACTTGTTCATGTGTTCTTATAAATAGCCTTGCTCTCAGTTAATTAACTGCACTTTTAATTAAATAACCAAAGTTCAATTTATCTAATGATTATTTTTTATAAAATTTGACAAAAGCTTCTGCCTTTTTAATATTTGATATTTGTTTTTATGGTTAACATACTTTTTTAATTCTTATATTTTTACTTATTTTTATTTTTATCTTTATACATACATTTTTTTAATTCCTTTGAGTCTTTATCATTACTTTGTGTGAAACTTTTTTGATTGAAACAAAAAGAGTATTGTAACCTATTTTTATTTTTAAAGTTTCTTCTTCCATACATAGAGAGTTCTCTGTCAATACTAACCATACTCTACTGTTCATGCTCGAAGGTTCCGGATGCAATAACACATGACACAAGGCCCAATTAAGACCCATATAATTCTATGAGACCTAAACTAAAGTTGAGAAGGGTGTTCGAAGAAACTGTCAAACTTCTAAACAGAGGTTTATAGTTAGAGGCATTGTGTTGCATTTTTTTTAGATCAACATATTTTTTTTATTTTCAATAATTTAAGTTTAATTCTCTGAGATCATGTTCCATTCCATTAAGTAAAATCCGTTGAAAGTGCTTTGCCAATGTAACAGAACTTATTCAATTGATAACTCAAATGATTCGGAATTATCGAAGTGCTCCACCGAGATGCATTCTTGCGTTTGTGGTTTAGATTTCAAGGTCTTTCCTGCTATTACTATCATCTGCACCACGTATTTTCTGATTGAAAATAGTACTCTCTCATCTTAAGAATTTGATATCTGAAGGATTGATAGGAATTAGGAAGTTTAATTCATCTAATGCATATAAAACATGCCACGAGTTTGGTATTCCTATTCTAATAATAATAAGGTACTTACCGATAAAATAGATAAACACTCGATTTATTAGTAGAATACAAGTGTCATACTATAATTATCACCAAACAAAGGATAAGATAATAATGGTTTAAAACTCCTTTTGACTTGTTCAACCAAAATTCCAACCCTCTCTGTCTCTCTTGCCTAAAACCATGAGGGCTATCTCATTGTGAGGCTCTCTTTGCACTCTCCCAAAAGAGACCCCTCACCATGCATGCATGCAGGGGTCACAAAGAAACTAAGGGAAAAACGAGAAAATATCAGAAGCAAGCAATGACCCCAAAAAAGTCACAATCACAACATTCCATGATAGTTGTCAATACAGCTTGAAGCACAAAATTTTGATGAAAGTAATGGCGATAGCTCCGGCGATAATCTTGCAGCCAACTCTTATCATCATCGTGGCTTTGCCTGTGATATATTCCATGACAGAAGCAGAAGCTTTGGTGGCACTAAAAAAATCGTTCTCCAACTCCGAAGCTTTGGTTAGTTGGGTGGCTGATTCGGTACCTTGTAGTGAAGATGATCAATGGCAAGGCGTTGCTTGCAACAATGGCCTTGTCACGGGGCTTCGCCTTGGAGGAATGGGGCTCTTAGGGGAAATAAATATTGATGCATTGCTTGAACTCAAGGGTCTTCGAACTATTAGCCTCAACAACAATTCTTTCTCAGGCAACATGCCAGAGTTCAACCGAATAGGGTTCTTGAAAGGGATGTATTTGCAAGGGAACAAGTTTTCTGGGGATATTCCTCAGGAGTACTTCCAAAGAATGAGGTCTTTGAAGAAATTGTGGCTCTCTGATAACCAATTCACGGGGAACATTCCTTCCTCGTTGGGAGAGATGCCTCAGCTCATGGAGTTGCATCTTGAGAACAACCAGTTTAGTGGAAGCATTCCTAAGATGAATAACCCGGCGTTGGTGAAATTCGATGTTTCCAACAACAAGTTGGAAGGTGAAGTTCCGGCTAGTTTGTTGAAGTTCAACAAGAGCTCCTTTGCCGGGAATTCTGGTCTTTGTGGTGAGAAGTTTGGAAAATCATGTGAAGAGAAAACGGAGAATCCAAGTCCCATTGATGCAAAAAATAGTAGTGGTTTGCCAGGTGGTAGCTCTTTGCAGATTATTGGCTTTATAATAGCGAGTGTGGTGCTTGTCTCGCTCGTTGTGTTTTGTATTGTGAGATCAAGGCGAAAGAAGGAGGAGGGGAGTTTTGTCATGTTTGAAGATATCAATGAAGGTGCAGTGGAAGTTCAAGTGACTGCACCAGTGAAAAGGGATTTGGATGGAAGTTCAAGTGCAAGTGCAAGTTCATTTTCAAGTTCAACAATTAGAAAAATATCCTCCGGCAGAAGGGCATCTGGTCAAGGTAAAAACGTGGGGGAACTTGCGATGGTGAATGATGAGAAGGGTGTGTTTGGTTTGCCAGATTTGATGAGGGCCGCTGCGGAAGTGCTGGGAAATGGATGCTTTGGATCTTCTTACAAGGCCGTCATGGCTAATGGAGTGGCAGTGGTGGTGAAAAGGACTAGAGAGATGAATGTTTTGGAAAAAGATGATTTTGATGCAGAGATGAGGAAGCTTGCAAAGCTCAAACACTGGAATATATTGAGCCCTTTAGCTTATCATTTCAGAAAGGATGAGAAACTAGTTATCTCTGAGTATGTTCCGGGAGGCAGTCTACTGTTTTCACTTCATGGTAAGACTCATTCTTCCTAACTTACTCAGTAATATGCGTAATAAAAACTTAGTATTAAAGATCAATATAAATTATCAAGGTGATTGAAAAATAGCACTAAAATACTTGTTGCATCTAAGTTTTGTCCATTTCAAATCTGGTTTAATGCATCAATTGGATAAATAGAATAGAAAGGAAAAGGTTTCCATAAGCTTAATTAAACACTTATATGTTGGGAATAAGGGATTAAACATGAAAGAGAAAAAACACAAATGAATTTGACACCATATAACCTTAACACATCATATCTATGAGTCTTTAAATAAACTCTTATCAAATAAGAACCGAGAGTTGCTATGATATTTAGAGATGTTTGTGTTAAAATAGTGGATTAAGCCTAACTCAACCCTACAAAACCGGCTTGTAGGGTGAGGGTTGCTTTCCACTTATATATTATTCAATTGCCTAATCTCTAGTCGATGTGGGACTTGGGTTTTTCCCAATACACCCCCTCACGTCCAGCACTATTGGGCTTGGTACGTGGATAAATGGTGGGTGACCCTTTTTAATGATCTAGGATTGGCGGGACTTGGGTTTTTCCCAATACACCCCCTCATGCCTATGAGGCATGCATCAATGGTGGGTGGCCCATTTTTAAAGTGGATCTAAATGGCTCTGATACCATGTTAGAATAGTGGATTAAGCCTAACTCAACCCTACAAAACCGGCTTGTAAGGTGAGGGTAAGGGTTGCTTTTCACTTATATATTATTCAATTTCTTAATCTCTAGTCGATGTGGAACTTGGATTTTTCCCAATACACCCCCTCACGTCTAGCACTATTGAGCTTGGTATACGTGAATAAATGGTGGGTGACCCTTTTTAATGATCTAGGATTGGCAGGACTTGGGTTTTTCCCAATAGTTTGAAGGTCTTTGTACAGTTATTTTTTGAGCTAATAGTTAAATGAGTTTCCACACCAAAAGAGAAAAGAGGAGAAGGAGAAAAGTTTCTCAATAATAGTGCTAAAACCCTTGAATTTTCGAAGGTAATAGAATTTCTCTATATATAGTAAGCGTGCAATGTTGTGTTATTTGCAGGTGACAGAGGACCATCGCATTCTGAGCTTGATTGGCCTGCTCGTTTGAAGATAGCACGTGGAATTGCTGAAGGGATGCGTTTTCTTTACACAGAACTTGCTACCTATGATCTACCACATGGCAATCTCAAGTCCAGCAATGTTCTCCTAGGACCAGATAATGAACCAATGCTTGTAGATTACGGGTTCAGCCACATGGTGAACCCTTCCACTATTTCACAGGTGCTATTTGCTTTCAAGGCACCAGAGGCAGCACAACATGGCCAACTTTCACGTAGTTGTGATGTTTACTGTCTCGGGGTTGTCATACTCGAGATGCTCACAGGGAAATTCCCCTCTCAGTACCTTAGCAATGGTAAGGGTGGAACTGATGTGGTGCAATGGGTTGAGAATGCAATCTCTGAGGGAAGGGAATCCGAATTGCTTGATCCTGAAATTTCAAGCTCTAGGAAATCACTTGGAGAGATGCAGCAACTCCTCCACATTGGTGCTGAATGCACTAAAAGCGACCCTCAGCAACGGTTAGACATGGGAGAAGCTATTAGAAGGATAAAGGAGTTAACACCCGAGGGTGGCCATCAAGAATCAAGAACAATAGAGGTCTGGTCATCTCCTAGAGGGTCTCCGGTATTTGACAACCAAGAACCCGGGATTAGACATGGATCAAACAGCTTCGGAAGCAGCAGGGATAATTTTGACTTCTAGGTAACACAATTTAGATTGTCTTCATGGGAAAAAGAACGAGTCATGTGTGTATCTTTTGGAATAACCAGGAAAAGAGTGGCGATTATGGATCAGGGACTTGTGTTATTTGGTACATTCCTTAGAATTTTGATGTTATAGATCAGAGACATGTGTATACTTTATGATACTTAAGTTTACTGATATCTCAGTTATAGGATGAAGCTTTGTAAATAATAAGAATTACCTTTTTCTGTTTTTTTTTTTCTTCCTTTGTTTGTACGTAAATTTTTGTAGTCACTGATATAAAAATCTTTACTTACTCTCCTACAAGTATCGTTGGTTACATCAAGCTGATTAAGACTACCAATAGCTAGAGAAAAAAATTGTAGTTGCGAGTTGTTTTGTCTGAGTTGTGATAAAATGCACACAAACACAAGTGTTTGCCGAACAGAAAAAATAGGTTATACAAGTGTTGACCAAGTGCTAATTTATTTAGTGGAAAAATTCACAAGCTAAAGACTTCAGAATCACTTAATATTAATTGTTTTCACATATTTTCCAGAAACCCTACTTGGTTTTCCTAGTCTAATTAAGAGTCTCTAGCATAGAAGTATAAAAATGTACTCTCTCATTTGGGACGCAAAAATGTTATTTCAGATGAAGTTTGTAGGTTGATTGTCTCCTCTGGTGGACGTGGTCAGCTTGGTGCTTCAAAATGAATTGAATATATCGTAATCTGTGATGATTGTTCGAGTTAATATATAGAGGCTATACAGTTTCGGAAATCATATAAGTGTTTTGAGGGTGAAATAGCATGTACTTGTAACGAGTGACCGAGAGTGGTGGGATGTGGGACACCGGGGAGTTGGAGGACAAAAACGTAAACTAAAAGATTACTCTAAAAATATAATACTTCATGTGACTAATATGTCCTAACCATTGAATTTTTAATTAATATATCTAATGGTTCTAAATCGTGGTTCATCATGGGTGAGGAGGCATTTAAGTGTTTCATGATAGAAGTTTTCTTAATTTTAAACATAGTATGATGTATTGTTGACTTTGATCGAACTTTGAATTAAGGCGTATGTTAAGTGAACAAAAATCTAGGATATCTTGATGGTTGTCTTACTTTCTAACATAATTAAGATGTTGGGGATAAGGAATAAATGTTCATTAAGAATGTTTCGATGTTCAAGTAAGTAGTAAGTCTCTTAAAGTGACAATATGTATTTATAGGAGATTTAAAGTTAAATTTTCAAATTGAAGATCTAAGGTCTCTTTAAAGTATATTATGTTATTCTAATATAGCAAAGATATAATTTTACTCTAAATTAAAATAGATTCATTGTTTATAAGTATTTTAAAATTTTGTAACCAAGTAATATTGATTGGGGTTAACACTTACGATGAGTAATGTGAATCAAAATGGTCAATTTCATAAATTTTAGTTGAGTTTGATGCACCATGTAAGTTTGTTTTTAAAAATATTATGGTAGGCAAGTAAGAATTAAGGTGAGAGACTTAGGAGATTTTATATTTTCTTGTTCAAGTATTTAGATCTTGTACTGATATGGAAGATATTCTAATTATCTAAAGGTCATCCAAGTTCTAAAACATTCAAATAACTTAATTTAGCTAAACCTAAAACCTATATCTTATACATATATGTTCGCATATCAACATCCCAAATTCTTTTGGGGATAATTCCAAAAAGTCTTGGAATAATTATCTCTTTCTTCATTTAAGTCAACTACTTAAGTAGTACTCCCAACTAATTGGACCGTTACTCTAACGAGATTAGCCTAGGTCAATTGACCAAACAATTACAAGATGAATCTACATCAGATCTCAATTTTGAGAGATACACAACTTATCAATCTTGAGTACAAGATGTAAGAAGGTTAACAAGTTAGTTAAACACACATTACATTCTAATTCTATGGAGTACACAACTCCACTAATCTCAAATTTTTTTTTTTCCAAAGAATCGATTAAATACATTAAATTTTGATTGTCAAAAATACAAGTTCTATTTTAAAAAGACCATGAGCAAATAAAGATATTAAGATATATATAATATTTATTTAAAAGGATTCAAGATAAAAAAAATTGTTTAAAACTTATTTCCTTTTAAAAAAATGTTTGTAATAAAAATAAGGTTTTTTTTATGTATTTGTTTAAACTGTTTTTAAAAAATAAATACTATCTACTTCAAATTACTTTTTTAAACATCACTATGTTTTAGAAACATCTTTTTTAATTTTAAACAAACTTAGCCAAAGTTGGATGTGACAAAATTCAACATTTATTTACCTCCATTGTCAAGCCCACATAGAAAAATGAATAACGAGGCAACTCGGTCAGTATTAACTCAGTAGTATGGGGTGCAATAAGTGAATTGAACTAAGTAACGTTTTTCTCTTTTGGACCACAATTAGGTCACCATATTTTAAACGGGCTACAAAAAATTCTAACTTGGGCGTGTTGGCTTGAAAATTGACAATCCAGTTATGTCCACTATTTTTTTGTGGATTATTTTATTTTTGCCTTTGTAATTTTTATTTTTAACAAATGAATTATTTGAAGTTTTAGATTTTATTTACAAATTAAAATCATTAAACTCAACTAGGCTTGATAAACTTTTTTATTATTAAGTACGAGAACCAACTTTAAAAAAAAAAAAGTTGAAATAAGAAAGTTAGGAATAAATATTTACCAAAACAGTACAAAACGACCTTGTTAAATACCTTAACACGCGCAGACATTAGAAGCTTCAGATAGTGACCACCAGTTTAGCCAATATTTATTGCATAGGGTGTTAAATATAAATTCTAATAGTTTACAGTTGTAGTAGTGATTCATCCATGATGATTGGACAAATAATTTACAAACAACTTTTGAGGCAGAGTTTTTTTTTTTTTTTTTTTATAAATTTTTTTTATCTTTTATAAAGTTTTTAATAGGAGAGATTTGTTTTGTTTGGTGAATGAATAGAAGAGGACAAAAGTTTATGATTAAATAATGTTGCTTAAGTCAACCATAATGTAATGTTCACAGCATGCTACAGCTGGACCTTCATTGAAATGCATAATATATGTTAATTAATTGAAACTCTAAGTCTCAGCATATCCTGGCATACAACAATAACCCACAGTACTCTTCCATTCTGCAAATTTGGATATCCCTTATTATCTGTACTTCAAATCTGTCATCGAATTTTTAGGTGCCATAACCATAACAACAATTTCATCACACGCTGATCTGGCTCTCCTCACATGACATTATTTTTCAAATCTCTATAATATCTACACTCTCACCATATTCCCATATTTCAATTTCTTCTTTGAAAATACATTTTCATATTTTATAATTGTTGCTAGTTCAACATCGATAAAAAAAATAATTTATAAAACACATATTTTTTTAATAATTAAGAGAAATGATCATAAAATAACTTCAACAATAATTATATTCTTGACCCATTATTTTCATTTCTTTTATTCTTCATATTACAGTTTTTTTTTCTTCTTTTCTACATTGGAGTCACCAAAATTATATAAACTCGAGTATAATGAGTACCTTTTCATTTTTTATTTATTTATAATTTCTTATATCAAACAGATGTAAAATTTAAAATTTTTGTCTTAAGCCTATGAAATATGTGCATAATAATAGTAATACTTAAATTAAATATCACTAGTGACTTAATTATTTTCGGTCTTTTACTAACTTAGAGTAACATTTTCTTATTTACCGTGTGTGGGACAAGCAAACATGTTGTACTTCTAGAAGTTTCATCTAAATTAGTAAATTTCACTCAAAATTTAATTGTAATATCTTCAAATGATTTGGTTGCACCACCACTCGTGCAACTCTAAATTCTCAACCATTTTGTCTTTTTGTTAGTAAAAAAACAATTTGTTGCAGGAAGAGAACGCCTTGAACCCATACTATACAAGATTCCTGAAAAGAGAATATTAAAAAACGAACTAATTTTTGTTCATCATACACGTAAAATTGTAAGAAAATCTCTCTTGCTCCCTCCCATGGCAATGCTATAGATTATTTAAATGTGTGAATATTCCTTTTACGTGAAATGCACATGTCATTCAATTTCAATATGTAGTGAACAGGAATATGTGCTAATTAATTGCTGACTAAAATATTTTCTAACATGGGGATTAGGGACAAACCTAAGCGAAGTCGTGCATAGCTAGCTTGCAATATGCTTGAGTTGTGCAATACAAATTGTATAAAGTTTACTAATTTATTCAACCATTCATTTGTTGCACCGAATGGGAGGTTTGGAATTGCAATTTAATTTTAGGGTTATAATTATGATGTTTGAAAATTTTTTACTGCAACATTTAAATAACATTTTTAAGGTCTAATTTTATAAAAATTTTAATATGACTAAAGTTGGTATTTTTGAATTTTCAATCTTAAAACAATTTCTGACCTTACTCTATATTGTTCAATTATATTCATTGTTTTTTGTGTCCACACCATTGCCCGTGCATTAGAGTTTTTCATTGATTGTCTCGAGTATAGAACAAGAGAAATTCTATGGTACCCATCTTATTTGAGAGGGTACTGATACAATTTTTTATATTTTATATTTTTAATAATTTATTTAAATAATATTTATGATATTTTATTTTTTTATTTTTTAAACTATTTAGTCATTTTATTTTTATTTTATATATTCTAATTTATTTGTAATAATATTATTATATATTTAAATAGTTTAATTTTAATAATTTTTTAAGTATATTTTTTATCTTTTTACTTAAAATTTTTGAATTTTTATATTATAATCTTAATAATTTTTTAAGTATATTTTTTGTCTTTTTGTCTTAAATTTTTGAATTTCTATATTGTAATTTTAATAATTTTTGAATTTCTATATTGTAATTATAATCTTAATTTTTATAATTTTTATAATATTATTGTCCTAAAGAGATATATGTTTTTACACATATGACAAGTTACACTAGAGTTTACCCACATGAACCAACACCTATCATGTTGATTTTGAAATTGAATTAATATCTTTGTCATATTAACATGAAAGAGACAACATTAAAAAAAAAAAATTAAAGTCGAAGACTAAAATGATTAAAAAAAACTACAAATATAAGGACTAAAAGTATTTATAATAGAAGTTGCTTATAAGCAACTCTCAACCACTTTAAATGGGTCCTACTGTGCCACATCACTCATAAGCAAATCATACTATATTTTTACAATCTTTGCTCCAACGAAAATTGCTTAAAGCACCCCTACTTTTTTACAACTCATGCTACACTTTTTAACACTTCACACTATACTTTATGATAAATTTTT